ATTATAAACGTAATTAAAATATTTTTATATTAATAAAAGAATGAGGTTATTGTCAAATTAATATGTATTAAAATGTAAAGTTGAGGTACTTACGCACAACAGCCTATAAGTGGATTTTTTTTGTCACGCGATGACTTAGTCTTAGTTATATAAGAACCAAGCTACTGATTAAATGAAAATAATATTGACAAAGCCGATAAATATACTTATTAAGTTATTGAAAATGACATGTAAATCACACCACGTGTCCCGGAGATAAGAAGAACGTATACCTACGTAATTACTTTGAATTAAAACTACGCGTGATAAAAAATTAAATTTGTTTTGTTTCAGGTATTCCATATGCGTTTAATTTGTCTGGTGTCGGAATGGGAGTTATATTATTGGCATTGGTTGCGATTGTCACAGATTATTCRTTAGTACTCATGTTAAGGAGTGCACACATAAGCGGTTCTTTTTCATATCAATCATTAATGAAATCTGCTTTTGGCAGATATGGTTTCGTAGTTTTATCCTGTTTACAATTTATTTATCCTTTTATGGGTAAGTATCAACCAATAAAAAATAAAAATGAATAAATAATATCAATGCATAAATAATATCTTGTAACCATTCTTAAAATTGTAAGCCTTAAACTTTTAACACAATATTTTAACATGTTGGTAATTTCAATACATCTGTAAGGCTGTAACGCCTTTTAAGATCAAATTTTAGATAATATTAATATTTTTCAGGTCTAGGTAGGAAATTTAAAATATAGAACAATTTATATTTTTTAGAGTGCAACTATAAATTATAGGTATATACYAATATTCTTATTTTTTATTTCATATTATGTTATATTTAAATTACAAAAGKCATTTGGTGTAAAAATTATAAGATAAATAAGTAAATTACATTTGTATTTTCGTAAAAATATAATTTGATTTTGTTACATTATATATTATTTTATAAGATTAAAAATTCTTATATTTTATTATTGATTAGGTCTTACGATTTTTGGTGATCATAAAAGTAGAATTATATACCTATACCTATTTAGTTATAATAGTAGGTTATTACAATTACATAAATCTAGGTTGGTACAATATGGTGCCTAGTAATTGTTTATACTTCTTGTTATTGTATATTGCCATTTTAATACTAAACTTCATAAGTATTATGAATAATGA